GCGTGGGGAGAATCAGCTCACATGTCCACCTAGGTGAAATGGTGATGGCAAACGAAGCAAAACACTTAGAAAACACACCCAAAAGAAACATAAACGAGTGTCCCTGAGAGGAGCAAAAAAGGAGAAAGATAAGGAGGGAAGGAATGGCAGTAGAGGGGGAAGAAAGGAAAGAGAAAGGGACGGAGACAAGGATAGGGAGAAAATAGAAAATGGAAGGGAAGGGGGTAGGAACAAGCAGGGGGGAAGGGAGGGGAAGAGGGTAGCCAGTCGTTAGGGCGAAGTAGCCAAACTAGTAAGCGGATCACCCATAATTAGGCTGCATTCCACAAGAACTCTAGCCTAAAGTAGGACTTAGTCATACACAGGACATCAAGTTAAGACATCAGTAGCAGTAGAGGGCTGATTCAACCATACAATAAGGAATTTAGCTGCACTGCCCATATTTTGATAGGTATCCTGATATAATGGCGAATTGGAGTTAACCAATTGTCTCCAAAATAGTAGAGAGGGCGCATCTGATTTCTTCCAGCTCATCACAATACCCTTTTGAGCGTAAAAGACAAGGAGACCCAACAAGGTCCTGTCAGCTGTCGTGGGTGCCAGATTCTCTACCAAATCCCATAAACAGATCATAGAAAGCATTGGAACATGGATAGATGTAATAGAGGAAACCTAATCCACCACTGCACTCCAATAAGGTATGATTTTAGGACAGGTCCGATATACAGTATATGAAAAATGTCACCTCCAGTAAACCCTCAACACCAACATGCCGAAGAAATCGCTGGGTTAAGTTTGTGAAGTGAGGGCGTAAAATATGCCAGATGTAGCAGTTTAAATTGAATTAGTTTATCCCGAACAGCAATCAATTGCCTAAAAGGTAAGTTCCAAACTTCCTTCCAAAGCTCATCGTCAAGTTCCGGTATGTCCAGTCACCACTTTGCATGTAGAGGGGTAAGTTCCGAGATAGTAATCAAGAGGGCAAAGTGGTAAAAAGTGGAAGTAGGTTTAAGAAGTGAGCGTGATTGTAAGCTTTCAAGTGAGGTACAGTGCAGCTCCACTGACCGCTGCAGGAATTGGGCATCAAAGGCATGAGCATGCTGCAGATATCTGTAGTAATGGGTAATAGGCACTGAGTAACTACTTCGAAGAGCAGAAAAGGACAGCAAGAATCGCTCCTTCACAAAATGAGAAAGGGTCTTAGTCAGAGCTGGATTTACTCTCCCTGCTGCCCCAAGGCCAGGTTCCTCAATGTGCCCCCCTCCCTGCCAAACCGCCACCCCAATGGAGAATGACAACCAGATGGCAGGGGCAGCATGGTTTGGTTTTAATTTTTTTTACTTTTTTATCACTTTTTTATTTTTTAAACTTTTATTTATTTTTTCACTTTTTAAAATGTTTTTATCTTATTATCTTTAATTTTTTTATAGTTTTTTTATTTTATTATTTTTGCCACTTTTTAATTTTTTAATTTTAATTATTATTTTTTACTTATTTAATATGTGTGATAGCATTTGGAGGTGACAGGTTCTCGTTATTGAACCTGTCACCTCCAATACAGGAGTTTGAGCACAGCACTGTGCCGGCTCTCCTGTGACAGCTGAGATGGGAAGGCTGCGAGCACAGCATTCCCATCTCAGTGTTTTCACACAGAGCAGGGTGGAGAACGGACGTTCTCCGCTCTGCTCCACGCTCTCCATCCTGAACTACATTGCCATGGTCCTGGGTTCCCCAGAACAAAGGCGGCCAGCTGGGAGAGAGGGGCGGACCAAGGGGGCTGGCGGGGGGACAGTCCAGCAGGCTTATTACATCACCGAGATCACTTGTACAAAACGATATGCAGTTTCCCTGCTCTACATTTAGCCCTGCTTGCCCGAAGCAGGGCTAAATGTAGAAAAAAATCTACCAGCCCGGCGCCCGGAACTGCATATCCTTGGCATCGGGCGATAGGAATTCCACACCTCTGGGAACAGTATCGACTGTGCCGCCCCTCTACTTCCGGTCACCCTGAGGCCAGGCCTCGGTGGCCCTGTGGGTCAGGTAAAGTGTAGAAGCAAGGAAGGGATGGATTTGTGGGGTAGTGGGACATCTGGGGAATAAGTGCCAGGTGGCTGGGGGGTCCATCCATTGCCAACTCTCCAGACTGTGAGGGTAGTAAGCATAAGAGTGGTAAGAGGATATGGGGCACTAGATCCGCGAAACAGCAGACACTGAAGTGCCTTAAGTGAGTCAAGGATGACTGCCTTCAACAACACTGAAGTATTCGCACAATTAGGATTACGCCACCAATAGTAGGTAACTAGTTGGGTAGCTAGAAAATACTTATAAAAGTCAGGCATTGCCAGACCCTCTTGTAAAGTGGGTCCAGTAAGTGTAGACAGTTTGTATCTAGAGGCCAGGTTAGCCCACAGAAAGAAGGTGAAGGCCTGGTTTCATTTGTTTAAAGAAGGGTGTGGGTATCCAAGCCGGGGAATTGCAAAAGAGGTAAGTAAATTGTGGCAAAGTTTTCTTTTTAAGCAAGTTAATGTGACCCAGTAGAGATAACGGAAGATTGCTCCATGGCTTGAGTTTCAATTTCGCCTCTTGCAAAACAGGTAA